TATCAATAGACTTCTCCCTTGTTACAAAAAGCCTGGTTAGACAGAACAAACCTAATATTAATTATGTCTTTCAGCTAATAGTACTATAGATTTAGAACTGGAAGGGGAATTAGAGGTAATCTCATCCAATGCCCTCATTTCCCAGATGAAGAAACTGAATCCCGGAGAGGTTAAGCTGCTCATCTGAGGAGGGGCACACGTTTCCCTGGCACCCTTCTGAGGTCAGGCTTGGCCTCTGCGTTGATCAGAGTGCTGTGTGGACTTGGAGTGTTGTATTTGAAATGTATTTTCCCCTGGGGATAATATTCTCTTCTATTGGTTTGGTTTGGTTGGATTTTTTAAACTAGTTTTTTCCAGTGGATTTTTTGCTCTCAATTTTGTTCTTTGATTTTCAGGATTTCTGTTTTGATGTTTAATTGATAGCTTGTAATTTGTCAGTTTTCCAGTGTTTTTAGTTGTATGCCTATGTCATTGATCTGCGTTCTCTCAATTTCTCTGTGTCTGTCTTTCCGCCTCCCAATCCCCTTGTCTCTCAATGAGGGTGTTCAGAGATACAAACATTCCCCTAAGAAACTGTTTTGGCCGCATCCTAAAAATTTTGGTGTGTTGTCTCATTGTTATCATTATCTTTCATGAAATTATTGATTGATTTTATGATTTTTCTTTGATTGCTTTTATGATTATGATTGACCCTCCTATTCTTTAGTATTAAGTTAGACTCCAATTAATTTTCATTCCTTGCCTCAAAGGCTCTTTTATTGAATATAATTCTATTGCATTATGGTCCATAAAAGATGCATCGAATATTTCCACTTTTCTGCATTTGTTTGTGAGGGTTTTGTGCATGAACTCATGATCAGTTTTTGTGAAGGTACCACGTACAACTAGCAGGAGAAGCACTCCTTTCTTTTCTTGTTCAATAATCTCGAGAGGCCTAGACCAAGTATTTTAAATGGTGGTTACATTTCCAAGGCAGCACACAAAAAAGCCTGTTTAACCCATAATGTATGTAGCTGAATAGTACTTATGGTACTAGCCTAAATTATAGGTCATATGAACAGGAAGTCATGCAAGGCAGAAGAGACTTTATAGTCATACTTTTGTATTGTTAACAAGCATCCAGTTAAAACAAACAAACGTGTTCTTGGAAGACAAGAAGTTCCATAAAAACTTAAATAGGGAGTAGACAGGAGAGTTGTATGTTATCAGTCAACCAACAGATGTTTACTGAGTGCCTATTATGTGAAGTATAAAACATGGTCCCTGACTTTAATGAGTTTTAATTTAATTGTAATGGTTAAGGGAGGGTGCCCTGCTGTGTTCCTGTGGACTTTTCCATTGTGCTCTCAGGAACCTCATCATCCTGCAACAGTCCAACAGCCTTGGTACCCACCCCTCACCAGAAGCCTTTGCTTCTCCAGTTGGGAGCTGAAGGGCAGAGCTAAGAGCTCCTCCCAGAACCTCCATTAAGGAGAGCACCCATGCCAGCCATCTCATCTCTTCCTTACCTGTCTGGCTGCCCTTCTTTGAATTCTTCATCCTGCCTTCCATGCAGGTACCTTCTCAGCTTGCCTTTGTGTGTCATCTTCCTCCATTGGATTGTAAGCTTCTGAAGGCAGGGACTGCCTATCTTTTTTGTATTCCTGTCTCCAGCACTTAGCACAGGGCTGGCACATAGTAGACAGCTAATAGATGTTTATTGACTGACAAAATTCACACATGCTTGCACACACACATGTCAGGGGTTTCTTGTATTTGTAACTAACCAAGGAGTTTGCACAAAATTTATAGTCAGCTGCAAGGGGAACTTAAAGGTCTTGTTGTCCAACTCCCTTGCCAGAAGGAGGAATACTTTGTCTAGATCAAATAGGAATTACTCAATGATGTTCCAGTGCAATATTAGCCAACCTTGGATTGATGGGCAGGGCCTTTCCGTGAGGCATTTAGCCATTAGGTTTCTCTGTTATCATAGTCCTCCCTACTGTGGAGGCAGTAGAGAACTTGTATCACTGCCAACCAAATTGGAAATACTTTGGGCCATTAAGCGACTTTCAACTGGTAGTGCTGTTGATCAGTGATTACTGATCTGTAATCATTTGAATTAATTAGTACTATCTGTTAAATAGTACTATTAATACTATTTTACAGTATGTAGAAAGGATATGTTCTGTAGGATTTTAGAGATCTCTAAGCCTTCTGCTTTTGTTAACATAAGAGATTAGGCGTGTGATGAAATCATTAGGAATGGCTTTCAACCATATTAAACATATTAGTCATATAAATCAGTAACTCAAGTGTCCCAGTTCCCTAGTTACTGTTGCTCTGTGCTAGTCACAGCCATGGATTTAGATAAGAAGGGATGGGGAACAGTACATGTCATCATTTTCCTTAGGGAAAGCTATAAGGGAAGGGCCAAGAACAGATTCGTGGTTTATGTGTTGTGTTTATGCATTTGGCTGATTAATCAAGTAGCTGTAAAGGAAGTCTTATGAAAGATTACCTATCCCAAGAAATGTATTTTGAGAGTATTTGCTTATTCTGTGAGGGAAAGATGACAAAAGTTCCAGGTACAGGAGAATTGTGAAATTCATTTAATGTGGCTTAACAGCACTAAATCAAGCACATTCCCTCCCCAAGTTGCAGGTTAAATTTATATGTTTAAAAAAGGAAAATAATTTATATCAAATAGGGATTGTTTTTGTATTCCTGTTGCCTAGCCTAATGCCTGATGCATAGTAATCATTTAGTAAGTGTTTATGCATTATCTAGTACAGTGTATTGCAGTTATCCAGTGTGTAAGTTCCATTTGAGCAAGGGCTTTGTATTTTCTGACACCCAGCACAGAAATCTTTGTAAATAAGCTCTTAATAAATGTTTGTCAATTCCCATCCTCGTCTCAAAGATTGTTCCTACTTCCATTGCTTCCTTAATCATTTTTTAAAGGGAGAATACTTTATGTTTGTCAAAAACAGCAGATTGAATGTAAATGTTCATGACATTAGCCTGACTAGCATGTAATAGGTAGGCATCCAAGTTACTATTTTTGAAGGCACTTGTGAAATGCAGATGATAAATAGCAGTGGTTCAAAAGTATATATTGGTACACAGTGCATATTCAAAGTACACTAATATTTTGGTCACTTGGGAAGCTAGGCTTTCACTTATCAAAGGCTAGATATTAAGTATACTTTTGTTGACCAGTCCATTTTCCCAAGTTTATTGCATAGCTTTTCTTTTTAAAACAATCTCTGCCCTCAGAAGGCTTACATTCTAGTAGGGGAAACAGGAGAGTAGATAACAGAACATATATAAAGTAAATAAAAAGTAATTTGGGGGAGAAAGGTGGTAGCAGCAACTGGTAGAATCAGGAAAGGCCTCATGGAGAAGGTAGCATTTGAACTGAGCTTGGAAGGAAGTTAGGCATTCTTAGAGGAGGGAGACCATTCCAGCCTTGTGCAAAAGCATACAGATGGGAAGTGGTATGTTGTATATGAGGAAAAGTAAGAAGGCCAGTTTGGACTGCAGAGAGCATGGCAGGGGTCATAATTTGTAATAAAGCTTCAAAAGTAGGTTGGAACAAGAGTATAAAGATATTTAAAGACCAAATAGAAGAGTTTCTTTTGGATCATAGAGGCAATAGGTAGCCATTGGAGCTTCTTGGGCAGGGCAATGATTTATAGTTGGACTTGTCCTTTAGAAATATCACTTTAATATTATTAATTTCAGTATTAGCACAATGTCTTGCAAGTGTTGATGGAATCAATGTACTATTTAAATTCAACTGGATGAAATATTAAATAAACTCAGATTGAAATGAAAAAAAAAAGAAAGAAAGAAATATCACTTTGGCAACTCTGTGGAGGAATGGACAGAAAGGAGAGAATCTAGGGGCAGCGACAGGTAGATTACAAGCATTTAGCAAGTGTTTACTACGTGCCAGGCACTATACTAGCACTGAGCAAGCAAAGCAAAAAGAAAGGCAGTTTCTGCCCTCAAATCACTTACGTTCCAGTTGGAGAAGACAATACTTTAGGGGGAGTGGGAAGGATAGGTATGGGTACCTGGGCAAAGGGTATGGTGGCAAAGTCATTCAGGTCAGAAGCTCAACTGAGAGAAGAATGGAGCATGGCTACTCTGGGCTTGTTTCCAAAATGGAGTCCAGGAAAAGAGCTCATGCATGGCACATAGGAGCTTGGCGTGGCAGAATGATATTGGAGGGTGATAAGGCCCCAGGTGATAAGTGAATTTCTGGAGTGAGTCACGGTGACAAAGTGGTTAGAGTCAAAAGCACAGCCAGGAGGGGGAAGGGAGACCTTTTTTTAGGCAATTGGGGTTAAGTGACTTGTGCAGGGTCACATAGCTAGTAAGTATCAAGTGTTTGATCTGAGGTCTGATTTGAACTCAGGTCCTCCTGACTTTAGGGCTGGTGCTCTATCTACTGCACCACCTAGCTGCCCAAAAACAGGTGATTAGGAACCTGAATTACATAGTAGTGTGTGACAGTAGAGAAAAAGGAACAGACATGAGCAGTAGGAGGTAACATGGGATAAGGGATAAAAAAGCCAATCTCAGATTCAAGAAAGCCAGAGTCCAACTCCACCCATCTCTACATATACTGACTAGTCACTTAACCTCAGGGCCCTAGGCAACTCTGTAAAAGTATATATTGCTTAACATTTGCCAGCCTGTTAGTGGAGGAGGTTTATTCATGAGGAATTCTCTGCATCAGTAAAATCCCAGGTATAGATGCCTTGTCTCCCCCAAATTATGTGATAAACAAATATACAAGTTGCAGAACAAATTTCTTTGTAAGGTCCAAGGTAGAAGGTTATTTCCTGACTGGGAAAGGGGAGGTTGACAAGTATGAATGAACAGGTAAACATTCTGAATGTTTTAAAGATTGTTTTTGTATTTGTTCAAACTTCTGGAGTCAAGGGTCATGGACATTACTCCAGTACAGTAATGAATTGTTTAGTAAAAACCTTTTTTTTTTCTTCCAGACAAAAATTAGTACCCTTGACAAGGACGTGGGTATGCAAGAGTTTAATTTGGAAAAGGTATGCACTTGAAGATACTCTGAAGAGATTTCAGAGGATAAGTGGACATTAATGTTGGGCAAATCCTGAATTTTATTCCTAGGCCTCTCATTGATTTATGAGGTAGCTGCCCTTTGCCTTATCCTACCCTTATAAATGAATAAATAGTCCTTGCAGGAATAGGGACATGGGAAGATTTGAGATGGTGGTTTCCTGTATGCTTTTATACTGCTCTTTGGAGTGACTAGAATTCTTTTCTGTGGTTGGAAAGGAAAGCATACTAGGGAGAAAATTTCTAACATCACTAAAGCCCCTTGACTTAATAAAACATAGCATGAAAGAATTATTTCTAATAGGTTAGTAACATTAATAGTAGGGAATTCTAGTTGTAAGAGTACAGACATAGTTAGCTTTTAGTGCAGCCTCTCTAAAATGCACTGTTCATTGGGATGGCATGCTGTCTTTAGGGCAATTAGAATGGGTGATTAATGATTAATGTTGCTTTGTGTTCCCAGGCCCGTTTGGAAGTGCATCGGTTTGGGATCACTGGTTATGGGAAGGGGAAAGAACGGATTCTGGAACAAGAGAGAGCCATCATGCTGGGTGCTAAGGTCAGGTGCTCCTTTCTGCCTTCCTGTGCCACTTAGGGGGTAATGGGGAAAGATTGACTTTGAGGGGGACTTAAGGGAAAATACATTGGGAGTTGTCTAAAAATTGCCATTGAGTTAAGGTCAGTAATGTATGTCCTCCAAAAAATTTCATTGCAGCCTCCAAAAAATAATTACGTGAATTACAAGGTTTTGCAGGAGCAGATCAAAGAAAAAAAGGCAGCAAAGGAAGAAGAGAAAAGAATGGTGGGTATGATCTTTTTCCTTTATTGATTTTTATACCTTGAAAAGATTTCGTGTGTTTAAGTCACCATAGCCTACCAATTTAGCTCTGAATGAGAAGTCTTATCAAGTTAACAAGCATTTATTAAGCACTAACTATGTGCTAGGCACTGTTTTAAATACTGGGGACACAAAGGCAAAACATAGTCCCTGTTCCCAAAGAGCTCCCAGTCTAATGAAGGTGACAAAATGTAAATAACTGTGTACAAATGATATGTCCAGGATAAATTGGGGGTGATTTTAGAGGGAAGGCACTAAGATGATGATGATGACAGTGACTCACATTTATTTAGCGCTTGCAATGTGGCAGGCACTGTGCTGAGCACTTTGACAATTATTATCTCATTTGAGCCTCACAGCTACTCTGGGAGATAGGTTCTTTTATCATTATTATTATTATTATTATCATTGTTGTTGTTGTTGTTATTTTTTTTAATAAATGAGGAAACTGAGGCAAACAGCATAAGTAACTTGTCCTTTCTCCAGTAGACAGGAATCTATTTTGTTTTCAGTTCTTTGCTACCATGAAAAGTACTACTATAAATATTTTGGTGTATTTGGAGCCTTTCTATTTGGTAGTGATCTCTTTGGGTTAAATGCTTAGCAGCAGAATACCTGGGCAAAAGAGTGTGGACGTTGTAATAATTTTATTTAAAATTACAAATTACCAGAATGGTTGTGCCTATTCACAGCTTCATCAGTGGTGCATTTGTGTGCCTATCTTTCCACAGTGTTCCCAACATTTACTATTTACTATCTTTGCCAATTTGCTAGTTGTGAGGTGCAATCAAAGAGTTGCCTTAATTTACATTTCCCATTATTAGTAAGATGGAACATTATTCTATATGGTTGTTAATCATTTGACCACTTCTCTATGTAGAGCAGCTTTTTTTTTTTTTGTGAGGCAATTGGGGTTAAGTGACTTGCCCAGGGTCACACAGCTAGTCAGTGTCAAATGTCTGAGGCCGGATTTTAATTCAGGGCCTCCTAACTCTAGTGCTCTATCCACAAGGCTTTTGTTCTTACACGTTTCCATTTGAGGCCAATATGTCTTGGATATCAAACCCTTATCAGAGATAGTTGATAGAAAGATTTTTTTCCCTAGTCAACTGCTTCCCTTCTTAGCCCAGATGAAACAATTTTGTTGTTAATGTAAAAGCTCTATAATTTCATGTCATCAAAATTATCTATTTTGTCTTTTCTAAATATCTCTGTCGCTTTATTTGGTTAAGCATTAATCTATCCACAGCTGAAAAAAGTATATGATCTACTTCAATTTTCATTTTTTATAGCATGATCTTTCACATATTTAAGTCATTTATGCATTTTGAATTTGTTGTGGAATATGGTGTAACATGTTTGTTAAAACCTAATTTCTCTACTTTTCCTAGCAGTTCTTATCAAATAAACACTTCTTTCCTTTGTAATTTATTTTCCAGTTTTCTGGATTATTGAGTTCAGTTATTTCTTATTCTTCCTTGTCTAGTCTGTTCCACTGATTTACTTTCATAATTTTTGTGTGTGTGTGTGAGGCAGTCGGGGGTTAAGTGACTTGCCCAAGGCCATACAGCTAGTACGTGTCAAGTGTTTGGTCTGAGGCTGGATTTGAACTCAGGTCTTCCTGACTTAAGGCTGGTGCTCTATCCACTGCACCACCTAGCTGCCCCCCATAGTTTTTTTCAGCCAATAGATAGAGCATTGATTGTTTTATTATGTGCCAGGTACCATGCTGAGAGTGGCAGATAAAGGCAAGCAAGACTGCTCTCATAGTTTACATTCTAAAAAGCTTACATTGTTTAAGAAAACAATACATAAAGGGGAAATAGAAAGAAGAGTGGGGGGGGGCCTGTGACCTCAATGGCGTGGTTTGGAGCCGGTAATTGGAAAGCATAGTGGAGGCTTGATATCTGGGCAACATAAGATAAGAACCCAGGATGGTTCATTGGGGTACAGGTTCCCCTGAGGAGCAGATTAGGATGAAAGCCTGAGTGGAAGTGGCATAATTTGGAGCTGGTGACTATGAAATATGGTGGAGGCTCAGTTTCCAGCAAGATAGGGGAAAAGTTCAAAGTTCAGGGTGGTTCTCAGAGTTGGAGTTCTAGTTTAGGGGGAGGAGGAGGTGGGAAAGGTCAGAGGGGAGTTAGCATGATTTGCAGCTGGTTGCTAGGAAATACCAAGAGGTTTTGATTATGGCTGCTTCATTGTAAGAATTTGAGGTCTGGAAGTGCTATTTCCCTTTTAATTCCTACCTTTTTCTTATTTCTCTTGATACTAGCTCTTCTGCTGAATTTTATAAAGTAACTTTACACTGTAGATTCTTAATATATATTTGTTGAATTGAATGACCCATTAGAAATGAACTGTGGATGTCTTTGTGAGAATCGGTGTTTTGTAGGGACATTGGAACATGAAGCCATCTACTTTAACATTTCTTTGAAATTCTGAAATTAGGCCCAGGTCACAGACACTCTCAGAAAAAAGAAGAGAAAAGGTTCAGAGGATAATCGGTGAGTGATAACCTTTGTTTCAAAAAGTCAGTACTTAAATCCCTATTTATGAGTCATAACAAAATCTTGCCACTAATATATTATTTTTTACTTCCCCAATTATAATTCTACCTCGTCTGGTTTTGTCTTCATGATAACCTTATTGGAAGTATAGGTAGGGTAATTATGTAATGCCCAGTTTATATGCAGAGTTAGAGAAGGAACTTCCCCCAGACAACGTATTTATCCCATTTCCATCAAGCTGTACCCCTTCTTAGATTCCCTGATTCACAGATAGTAACTGTAGACAGTCTCATGAACCTTTGAAATTAGCCCTTGGGCATACATAGCAGTCTAAGATAGACATAGACCCAGATTGGCATTTCCAAACTCAGGACTAATTTCAGAGGGAAAAATAAGGTAAATTATTAGCAAATTTTGTTACTATCTGTAACAGCACAAGACTAGAACTTCTAGAATCCTTTCCTCCACATCCTTTGCCTGAATCCCAAACAATTCACTGTTTTATTGAGACTGTCTTGTTAATAAGGTCTTGTCTAAGACCTTGTTAACCTGCCATGGTTGTGTGTTTATCCTCTTCAGTTTTATGTTTCCCAGACTGTTTCAACCTGACTCAAAAGAAGACCGTGACCATTTCTTTCTTTGTTTTTGAAATGGAATAAGCATTTATTAAGCATCTACTGTAAGCACCTTCTATGTGCCAGTCACTATGCTAAGCTCTTTACAATTATTATCTCATTTGATTCTCACAACAATCCTGGGAGGTAGGTGCTATTATCATCCCCATTTTCAAATAAGGAAACTGAGGCAAACAAGGATTAAACGACTTGCCAGAGTCACACAGTTATTAAGTGTAAGATTTGAACTAGGGTGTTCCTGACTCAAGGTGCAGTGCTCTGTCCACAATATCACCTGCCTGGCTCTGCCATGTCTATGTGGTCCTGGACAAGTCACCAAACCTCTGGGCGTCTCAGTTTCCTCATTTGCAAAATGAAAGGTGACTGTTTCTTTAAAGAAAAATATATTTTATTGATGCCCTTTTTCTTTATATCACACTTATCTCAATTCCACCCCCGACCCCTACCAGTAAACTCCCTTGTAAGAAAGAAAACCAATTAGGAAAAAAAACCTGATACAGTGACCACATCTGACAATATATCCAGTACTATGTCTTTGTGGTCTGTTATTGCTCTTCCATTAAAGGAGAAATATGTTTCAGTATCTTTTCTTTGGGATTTTTTATGATCTTGAGCACACAAACCTTTCCATTTTCTTTGACAGAATACCATGCAATATAGAACATCAATAATTTTCAGTAATTTCATTGTGTTACCTTTTGCTCTGATTTTCATCATCTCAGTAACCTTTTATTCAAAATAGTCTTTTCTCATTTATGTGCATGTTAAGATAAAACTTTGGCTCCCCTTGAGTTAGGACCATTGATAGGTGCTTTGTGTGCCTTCTTCACTCGTCTTAATTATATCCTCTTTCCTCTTTTTTTAAACATAGGAAATCCCAAAGGAAGAAATTGGCTCCCAATATTTTGTCAACAGGATCAGCGGGACAAATTGGAAAATTCAAAAATGGGACCTTGATTCTGAGTAGTGTGGATATTAAGAAAATAAATTCTTCAAAAGTGACTAAATGAAGCTTATGCTGAATTAGCTAAAAAGATAAGAGAAACTGAGATAAGCCCCATTGTCTTAAAAGAGTACATAAATTCATTCAGAAATTTCCTTTTCACATTTTTGTTTGGGCTTTTTTTTTTTTTTTAAATTTTTATTGGTATCTTTTGTTATTCCGTAATCTCCATTATATCCTTCCTTCCTCCCAAAGAGTTATGCCTTCTGACAAAAGGAAACAAAAAAGAGGAAAAGAGAATTCATTTAAACTAAGGAACAAACCAGAAGTCCAGTGTTGTGTTCTGTGCTCCACAACCAACGTCTTCCAATTCTGTCTGCAAAGAAAGAGGGGAAGTGCCTTCTTCTACCTCTTCTCTGAAGCCAAACTCAGTCATTATCATTTTCAATGTTTCCATTTCTATTGTTTTATTGTTGCTCTTTCCATTTCCAATGAATGTTATTTTCCTGGTTCTGTTTTACTCGGTATCAATTTATATAAATCTTAGCACGTGTCTTCATCATTTCTTTCAGACTTGTACCGTAGTTTCTTTAGCTATTAACCCACCACTGCAAAAAGTGCTACTGAAAAAAACATAAGACATCAAGTGTGTATGTGACCTTTTTATCATTGACTTGGGACTGGAGGAAATGGGAGGTGGTATATGCCTAGCTATGTGATCTCTGCATTTTCTGAGACTTTTTTACCTTTTAAGGAAAGAAAAATCATCTAATCATTCATGTCACATTTCAGAGTAGTGAGACTATGGTGGTCAAAGTCCAGAAACGGCCAGTGGTACTAGTCCTGAAAGACTAATAATGCATGTTAGTTTCTTAAGTGTTTTATAGAAAGGGTATGTTGAATGTTAGAGCTTAGAAGGACCTTAGTGATTATCTAATTCAGTCTGTTTATTTTATAGATGAGAATACTGAGGCTCAAGAGGAAAAGCAACTTGCTCAAGATTACATAGGCAGTAAGGGACAACGTTAAGGATTCAAACCTAGGTCATCTTACTCCAAATCTAATTCTCTTTCCCCGCTATATCATCATTTTCTTTCTCTTCTAGGTTATGAAGTATAAATTGGCCTTAAGAAAGCTCCCAAAAGCTTTTACCTAGTTAGCATGATATTTTAATTTTTTAAATTTTGAATTCATACATCCAAAAAACAATGAGCATTCCCACGTATATAGTAGTAATAATAGCTAACAGGGGCTATGCTAATCACTTTACAAATACTTTCTCATTTGATCCTCATAGTCACCCTGAGAAGTAAGTGTTATTATTATCATCACCATTTTACATATGGGGAAACTGATGCAAACAGAGGTGAAGTGACATGCTCAGGGTCACACAGCTAGTATGGATCTGAGGCCAGAATTGAGCGTAAGTCTCCCTGACTCCAAGCACTGTGCCACCAGCTGTATATATACAGGGCAGAGGATTGTATGTGAAACCATGAAGCTCCATTTCAAACCTCTTACTCTTCAAGAAAGCAATCAAGTACATTACTTTCAAAAGTTCCCTGCATATCTGTGTTTCTTCTGAATGTTGTTTTGTTCTTATTTACATTTTTTTTTTAATATTGAATTACACAGGGCTAGGGCTGGTGACCTGGTTGCTAAACTCTGCCTGCTTACCTGTGCAGCATATGTCAGTGCAGTGATCTGTGATTAAAGGCTTTAAGAGTAGATTTCTGTCCAGTACAGCTTATCTTTGAATCATGAGTGTCTCAGTTGTTCCCAGTTTCAGTAGGGCGTTGGATGACCTGACAGATAGGTTGACCTTATTTGCACTGCTACAGGTCAAGTAGATTGTTCATCTCTCAGTTCCTCGACTGTTTCATAAGACAAGGAGATTATATATATTGTATACAGTATCATATATGTATATTTTTGTTATGTACCAGGGTGTGTGTGTGTGTGTGTGTGTACATCACCATTCTCCACACATGTAGTGGCTCCTTGGTTTTCAGAACCCCTCACCTCTGAGTTCCATGGGAACATACCTGTCACTAGAACATTCTCCAACTGGGAAACTCAAAGGAACCCTTCAGAGCTAATGATTTAGGCTAGACTAAGCTGGAGAATGATTGGTGGTGGCAGCCTTTTACATAGTTGGCATGATGGGTCAGTTAAAGCACCAAAAATCAGCCCAATAATAATTAGGCATTATAGTGTAAACAGACCATAAAGGCTCACACAATTACATAGGATAAATTAGTCAAGGCATATAATAATTCACATCCTCAAAACAGTAGCACTTTGTATAATTTGCATGGATTTCCAAAGATGTAGTCTAGCAAAATCCTGCCCCCTATACTGGTACACCATATTACTGTGCTTGCATCCAGCACCTGGGGATTAGTGGGGTGGTATAACACTTAGGAAAGTAACTCCAGGAGCTAAGTCCTTTTGAATGAATGAATAATGCCTTTATTAAGCGTTTATTATGTGCAAAGCACCGTAGCAAGTTCTGGGGATACAAATTGAAAACTAAGACATTTCTTGCTCTCAAGAAGCTCACATTCAAGTGGGGAGAAAAACAGTTTTAGCTACTGGTCAGGTGGAAATGTTTTCTGATGTTGAACAATTTGATAGTGCCGAGATGGCAACAGCTTCCCTTTGTGAATCTTCAGTAGTCACAGCTGGAGCACCTACAGGAGTGGCTGCCAGGCTGCATCTCCACAGGTGATGTTTTCTTTTCTTTTTTTTTTCTTCTGTATACTTTTATTTATTTATTTATTTTTCGGTTTCAGCATTCACTTCCACAAGATTTTGAGTTCCGGATTTTCTCCCCATCTCATCCCTTCCCCCACCCCAAGATGGCATGCATTCTGTATACTCCTTCCCCTAATCTGTCCTCCCTTCTATCTCACCCCCTCTTCTCTTATCCCCTTTCCCTTCTGTTTTCCTGTAGGGCAGGATAGATATCTATAGCCCATTTCCTGTATTTCATAGTTCCCAGTTGCATGTGGAAACAATTTTTTTTAAAAAAGTGTTTTTAAAACTTTGAGTTCCAAATTTTCTCCCTTCCTCCCTCCTCACCCACCCTCATTGAAAAGGCAAGCAACTCAATACAGGTTATACATGTGTAGTCATCAGGTGATGTTTTCTAGGATAGTGGCTGAAGGCACTGAGCTGGAAGCATTGCTGTTCCCAAGGCTCTTGGATTTAGGTCCAGGTTTCTGATCTGTCTACAGTAGAGGATGAAGGGAGATGGTGGACAAGGCGTTGGTAGTGGTTTGACTTGCCTGGCATATGCTGTTTGCTGTCTCGCAGAGTGCCCAGTTGCTTAAGCCAGGTGGACATTGTCCCACTAGGTGGTGCGATGGATGGAGCCCTCAGCCTGGAGTCAGGAAGACTCATCTTTCTGAGTTCAAATTTGGCCTCAGACACTTACTAGCTGTGTGACCCTGAGTGAGTCATTTAACCCTATTTGTCTCGGTTTCCTCGTCTGTAAAATGAGCTGGAGAAGGAAATAGCAAATCACTCCAGTATCTTTGCCAAGAAAACCCCAAATGGAGTCCTGAAGAGTCTGAAATGACTGAACAACAGCAAAGGTGGGCTTTACCTGCACTGTCAGTGGTAGTTGGTTGTCATTTACTGGGGAAAACTGGTTACTTCTCCACAGGAACTGCTTCCCCAGGTGATGTCTGTACAGACTGGGCTGGCAGCAGGACAGGGTGCTGCCACTCCCAGGGCTCATCTGTTGATGGCAGTTGGTCAGCACTTATGGCTGGTGATGATGAGCACCATAGGTGCCTTCTCCACAATGATTTCTCCCCTCAATGGTAGCTACAAGAGCTGACCTGGAAGAAAATCTGGACCTTGCAATGAGGTCACCACATGCAGTTGACGTTGGCTACTTCACAAAAGTCAGTAATTCTGTCCTTGCCTGTTTTTCAGGGGAAGCAGTCTAGAGAGATGCTAGCTTTTTCTGGGGCAGGTGCCATCTAGTGTTTAGGAAATGGCCCCACAAATTTACAACTGGGCAGGTTTGAATTGCCTTTTAATTAAGATGATGAGAGGGGATGTGTTGGGTAGAGCAGTGCCCTTGATGAGAGGATAGCCTATTGCTGGAGAAAATCTGAGTTTTGAGTTATGGTTATCTTCACAGGACAAAGGAGGCTACAGCTTCAATGCTAGCAGGGGCAAGATGCTTGAGATAAACCGTGAGAATGGGAGAAATGGGCAAGTGACTGGACATTTTATTAAGAGCAATTTTGGGCCAAGGGAAAAGAGTTTGAGCAAAAATTTCACTTAAGGATTTCAGTGATGAATTCCAATTTTGCCTGGAAGAGCACTTTGCCCTAGGCAATCAAACAGGTAGGATGAACATGCAACAAGATTTATTCAGTATCTAATATGACCAAGTCCTGTGCTAGGTGCTGTTACAGAGACAATAGCAAAAACCCTTTCCTCAAGGAGCTTACTTTCTATTTATGTACATAAGTATATACAGAACAGGTGCAGTACTCTGCTCTCTCTGGTACAAAACAGGTAGAAAGGCAGATGTGAGGAAAACAAAAAGTCTCCTGCCAAAGCCAAGTTCTTGAGCCTAGTCTTATAGAGAACCCGTGATACCACAACATGGTGGTGAGATGGCAGTGCACTCCCGGCAATGGAAACAGTGAGTACAAATGTATGTTAATGCAATATGGAGTGTGATGCATGAGGAACACCAAGAAAACAAGTTTAGCTGGGCCGCAGAGTCCACAGAAGGGAATAATACGTGATAAGCCTGGGAAGGTAGGACAGAGCCTGGTTATAAATGCCAAATAGGAATTTAGATTTGATCCTAAAGCTGATAGTGTGAAAATGCATTAAAAACTTTTCAGTTTCTCTAGAAATATTAAGAAATCATATTTCTCTACTCTAAAAAGCCTTTTCTGGGAAAGCCTCTTAGAAAACAAGGGTGAGGGGTCTAAGACAAAAAGGTTCTTAGGAATGTGGATTCAGAGTGATGACCGAATTGGATTCTCCTTCTTGGGCTCCCGACCCACTTGAAGTAGTGGCTAGGATCCACCCTTCTCTTTTGAGAAAGGATTTCTTTACTACAAGAGACAGGAGTTGCCCAGGCGGGAATGGACTTGGTTACTAAACAATTCCAGAATGTTAACCCA